TAAAGCCTTTACTTTACTTATTTAATCTATCAATCAAATCTTGCTCGTATCCAGACAAATGGAAATTATCAAAAGTTACACCTATATTTAAAAAAGGTAGCATGAACTTGGTAGAAAATTACAGGCCAGTATGTCAAGTTTCAGGGTTTTCAAAGGTCTTTGAGATGGCTGTGTATGAAAAACTGTTTTCACAAGTAAAAAGTTTAATAAACCCTTCACAACATGGGTTTTTTGCGACTAGAAGCACTGTTACCAACCTTACATGTTTTACACAATTTACCTTAGAGTCTTTAGATAATCACAAACAGGTTGATACGATTTACACAGACTTCTCAAAGGCCTTTGATCGACTAGACCACACACTGTTGGTGCATAAACTCAAAAATTTTGGATTCGATCATAACTTAGTTACACTTATCTTTTCATATCTGAGTGAAAGATATCAGAATGTAGAAATTAATGGATACAAATCATATTCTTTTAAATCAACTAGTGGAGCTCCTCAGGGAAGCAATCTTGCACCACTTTTATTCTCTATCTTTATTAATGATATTACGCAATGTATCTCTAGTAATTCTCTCCTATTTGCCGATGATTTAAAAATATATAGGATAATTAACTCAATTGATGACTGTTATCAACTGCAATCTGACATTGATTCTCTAAATAATTGGTGTAACAACAATAGATTGCCTCTAAACATAAGCAAATGTAATATGGTTACATATACTCTAAAAAATACTCCAATATTGTTTGATTACAAAATACAAAACAGTACCAACCGTCTTGTTAATTTCAAAGATCTAGGGGTCAATTTTGATTCAAAATTTTCATTCAACAAACATATTGCTGATATATCTGCTGGGGCGTCAAAAATGTTAGGCTTTATTTACCGTTCTTGCAAAAATTTCAAAAATATTGATACCATCAAACTATTGTATTACAGCTATGTTAGATCAAAACTGGAATATTGTTCGATAATTTGGAATCCTTTTTATGCAGTTCAAATCCAGCAACTCGAAAATATACAACGGAAATTTGCAAAATATCTTATGTTAAAAAATGATGGGCTTTATCCTCCCCGTGGATACAATAACTCGCAGTTATTGAGTAAATTTGATTTACCAACGCTATTAGAGAGAAGATCTTATTTAATGTTAATATTTTTGTATAAGTTGCTAAATAATAGAATTGACTGCTCGGAAATATTAAATAAAATATGCTGGCGTATTCCGAATAAGAACACTAGATTAAGAACATTATTTTATCTCAACCAAAGTAATACCAATCTTATGTTAAAATCACCAATCTACAACATGTGTGAAACATATAATAATCTTGCCAGTTTCAATTATGATATTGATATATTTGGTATGACCTTACCCAAATTCATTAATTGTACTCGTCAATCATTGTTTTAATCATTGTTTCAATTTCATTGTTTTATAAATCATTTTTTCAATCATTGTGTTAATTGTATTGAAACAACATTGTTTACTTTATTTATAATTTATATAGATACTTTAATTATATGTTAATTGCATTGTCTTGTAAATGGGACTACCTGTTAGACAATAAAGCTTATTATTATTATTATTATTATTATTATTATTATTATTATTATTATTATAACATTTAAGCAGAAATTGAAACCTACTGTGTATAAAAACGCGTCTCTGCACCTGACATCGCAAAATAGTGTGTCTAAAAGCTTGCGCAATATGCATGACTTGTCCCTGTAGTGTTGCCAAATATATTAAACATACCTAACAGAAAAGAATTTTAAATTAATTAATTTTTAAATTATATAATTTAAACAGTTTATATCTACGAAATATCGCCACAAAATAACTTATAAACATTTAAATAATCAACTAATAATATTTATGTGTAATTACATTCCCAAAAATATATACAATTACCGTATTAATGTCATTAATACCGTATTTTTAATGTTCAATAAGCGATTCACCTACAAATTCAATATTGACCTGGCAATAGCACTAAAATCCGGTGTTTCAAGGCTATATGACGCTGCCCTTACAGGACCGTTTGTAGTTTATTATTTATGCCGCGTTTGAGAATCCACATCGGATGCATCTGAGATGTAGTAAGTAGTAAATCTTTGATCACGTGATTCAGTATACGTAAATGTAATGGGACAGATGTGTCCGATGTGGATAAAAAACGCTCGAGATGTAAAAAATGCATCCGATGTGGATTCTCAAACGCGGCATTAATTACACGATGAAAGTGGCATTTTATTTTTAGTTTTGTGTAGTGTTTAGTCAAATCCTAGGTACAATAAAAGACATTTTTATATTGGCTAATGAAAATGTAATCAATGTATTAGGCAGCTGTTATATTTATTACAAGATTTATGTCTGCAAATCTAAACCTACCTAAGAATTATAATTATGTAAATAGAGATCTGTATATTTATATACAGGCTGCCCAGCGACGGGGAGACATTATCGACATCGGTTTTAAGGCATTTTAAAACATAAACCCGATCTCAACAATCTTAGGAACTCTTCTGTCACTCGATATTTTAATCGGTACTTCCTCTTCGTTTTTTGGCTGGCACAACAATTATTTACATTTCTTCATTCCTTACGGCGTTCGAACCAGTAAGGTTTAAAGAAATTTAAAAAAAACCTACTTTAAAAATAATGATTTTCTTATGGATCCCATCTTCAGATCTTGACTTAATGTATATAAAACTGTTTCATTTTCTAACAAAAAGAATCCTAGAAATCGGGCAACGTGGTAAAGAATTATCGCTCAACATACATAAAAAAATATTTCAACGAATTGAAAATATCCTACCATTTTGAAGTATGTTAAAAAAAAATTGTTAATAAAGTGAAAAGTAGGGCATGAACATATATTATAAAGTATATAAAATGATAGATAAATCCACTTTAGAAGGTATTATAAATAAACTGTGGAAATATCGAGAATCTCGATTTTGAATCGGAAAAATATTCTACGCAATTTAGTATGAAAGCTGATCAAAATGAAACACATGAACGACAAACTGTTATTGACAACTTTCTTCAAACGTTTTCTATTTTTCCGAAAACTAACTAGATGGTTCGAAAATCATTTCCTTCGTTAAAACGCCTCTTGTTCCGAAAAAGGTACACGCCTGTCAACATTCATCGTTCATTAAAAAAGTGGTAGATACAAAACGCTTCGTATTGTAAGGCCAAAATATATTTAGAAATCGAAATAGTCATATAAACAAAAAAATCATATGAGTGAGATAACTACCAAATTAATGATTTACAAGTTTATTCCTATTATTTATAAAATAGGTTTGCAATGTGCTGGTGTGGAATGTTATCATCGACTAAAAACTTTAAATCTTTGTATTAAATTGATCGAAGACAAACTATAAATTGGTTTAGGCTATATAGAATGTTTCTAGTAAGCAGCAACTAATTTTTATTATGGAACCGAAAGACCCTTTTAAAAGGGTTCAAAATTAAAATAAAATATGTACCAAGTAAATGTAGTAGTATTTTTTAATTTTTTAATTTATATTGCAAATGGTAACATGAATGGTTTTCTGTCTAACGACTCATAGTCTCGGCTGACAAAATGTAAAAAAATATCGAACATAATATTCCTGGGCCCTATTTTGCACTCTCCAGATTAAATTTAGTTGTAGCAAATGATATTATCAAATAAGATGTCAAATCACAAGCAAAATCTCGTGACTACAGTTCTAATGATTGCCTGTTTGGAAAAATATCTTTGTTTGTAAATATTTATCCGCCCATTATGTATATACGTTTAGTTACCGACCCTAGTAGATAGACAATTTGTTATTGTTTTAAGTTTTACCATAGGGAGAGAGAAAATCAATATTAGGATAAATGGTCCAGCTCCTTTCTGGTTACGTAGGTACCTAAAAGGTATTTTAATTTTTGGTTAAGTAATTAATTATTGTAACAGTGATTTTCTTGTGATAGTACCTAATTTAGATTGTAGAAAAGTTTTTGTATATAATTTCGCTGTTTAATAATAAACGTAGTCAAAACCGGAGCACGTGGTTTTTCTGGAAAGTATTTTTAAAATCACAAGCAAAATCTCATGACTACTGTACTAATTAGGCATTCCAAACTTAATGGCTACCAGTGGGTTTTGACGGGTTATGATATGGCAAAATTATGGCAACCCTGTAGGCCTGGTGATTTGACAAGGTCAATGAAATAGATAGTTACATAGATTGATTATCCAAATTTTTCAAAATAAACATAAGCGTATGCCTTGAAGTAAAAATGTAAGCAATTATTTTTTTTTAAATATCTAAAGGCTAAAAATTGGTTTTAAAACACATTTTTGTTAAACCGATTCAAATTAATAAGTATTTGCCAGGCAATATGGCCGCTCGTAAACGACCAGCTTTGAGCAATCTATATAACTATATATGTATCATTGACCCTGTTAATGACAACAGGGTTGCCATATCTAAACTGTCATTACCCACTGGTAGCCATTTGGACAGGTCGTTGGAATGCCTAATGATTGCCGAAAATTAACTAATTCATATTTTATGCCATATCTTTCTTAATAAGGACTGTCAGAACCATATTTACCTTAACTTGAAATTTTTTTAATCGTTTTTTGTATAGAATCATCTCTAAAAATGTATGATTGAAATATCGTGTGAACAAATATGTTCGATCAATAAAAAACTTGCACCGGTCCTGTTCGCGCCAGCACCGTTATACGCATGAGCTCCGACACACTATTTTCTCCTTATGGTTTCATTTTTGATATATGGAATCGGCTTTCTACACTATTTCTATGAGAACAGTACAATAAAACTACGAAAACGGTCAGCAGCAGACTTCAACTCTAGCATACTTGTGACGTATGACCCGCCATCTTGACAGCAAAGTGAGGCAACCGTATTATTTTACGAACCGTGAACCTAGCCAACTAGTCTAAAGGAATTTATGCTCAGGGAAAGTTTTATCTTCGGTGGCTGTGGACTAAGTTTCCATAAGCCAAATTTCTCACACACAGGGAAATTTTAACAAAATAAAAATTCAGCGTTTTAACTATTTTTTATTAGTGAATCAGGCACGATTAAAATTCTTCTTGTGGGACTATAATGCATTACATACTACCAACTACATTTTAACTTATTCTACAATATATACACAATATAATTAACAAAGCTGGACGTTCAAATAATCAATTACAATATAATAAAGAAAACAATTATATATCCATACAATAAAAAAAATAAAAGTTTGGTAATGGTATTAAATGTTCACGAGCATCTTAAAAAGTTATGTTTCACTATATTTGATGATTTAAAAACCACTGAACTCTTAAAAGACTAATAGTTTACTATTAATATTAGTCGATCAATAAATTAGTGATTTTCTGAAACAGTACGATTCGATAATGTTCTAAATCATTAAAAAATGGTTAAAATATTAGATTGCAATGCAATAAAAATTAATTTGACTGTTAATCAGTACAATCGCGCGCCGATATTTGAATCATGCCATTCAATCTGGACAGTCAATTTAAAATCAAAATAAATATAATATTCAATTGTAAATTTTAGCTAATAGAAATCAATAATAATTGAAAATAGTTTAATATGATTAGGAAATGCCATAAACAAAAAACAATAGCACTTGTAAATGTGTTTTCTTCTTAAGTTCATCAGTTAATATAATTTATTCCATCTAGAAACAATTAAAATATGACTTTATTTATACTTCTTTAATGCCTTTATATTCGTTTGTGTAATATTTAGGAAAAAATAATAAAATTGCCAATGTAAAAAATTGTATGACATCTTATGGTTTAATTTAGATGAGTATTATTTTTGTGATGTCTCCATTAAATACAGGGTGTCCCAATGAAAAGTAGCCCATTTTCAGAGCTTATAACTTTTAAACAAATCGTAGAAACGTACGGTTTTTGCTGATGTGTTATTTTGCTATAAGTTTTGCTTCAGTGACACATTATGTATTACCTATAACAGGATGTTTTTTAAAAATCTCCTCTATTAAATTCACCGTAATTTTATCAAATGGAAACGGGCTACTTTTCATTGGGACACCCTGTATAATCTATTAGAACCCATGGTGTGAAAATAATGGGTTCAACAAAGGCATAGATAGAATAAATTATTTACAACAAAAAGCATTATAATTGATGTTCCTGAAGCCATCCGTTTTCCAATAATTTCACAGCTAATAATTTAGCGGAAAAAATTAATTAAATCGTAACATCAATTTTGAAAGTTGATGAAGGTGGGCACTTTCATTTAATCACACTTTACATTTCATATTCTTACGTTTAATTAAGATTTGCCAGTTAAAGTAAAGTTCTTCAGTTTTTATTCGCTGCTGAAAAATAGTGATTACTCTTTGGATATATGTATTACGAATTGTTGACTCTAAAGGCCAAAAAAGTAAAAAGGAACGCAGTATTTTCATGTTCATTAAAAACATTCGATTTATTTTTTAAAAAACACGAAAAAACAATTATTTACACAAATTTAAGAAACTTATCAGAAAAAAACATTTTAGTTCTACTGGAAACCAAGAAATCCAAATCGGATCAACCGTTTAAAGTTTCCAGGTAGATTTTACTGATTTACGGAAGCCATTGCTTTAAATTTTAAGAGCTTGTTTTTTTAAATAATGTTCGAAGTATTGTCAATCAAAAATGCACTTAAATTGTCAGCATCGGCTCCATGAATAATCGTATAAAATATGAAAAAATCTGTCTACCATTTCTAAATAGATTTAAAAAAAAAATTGTATAAATATTTCACAAAAAAATCCGAACATTCTTACATATTTTTTATTCTATCATTCGGTAAATATCCTAGAACCTAACCAGTCTTACGATTTCACACAATTCAACTCAAAAAAATCCTCATTTTAAAATCATTAATCAGATTTTTCCAAACTTTCGGGAACAATTAATCGTTTTTTTTTCACATACTGTTAGATTTTTAAACATTTTTTAGGTACATTCAATATATACATTAATTACATGATGAAATATACTGGATGTCACAGAAGAATGATTTAAGTTGTTTGGTATCATTGATTTATTATAATAAGTTTGTTCCAGCAAAAGTCCTAATTTTGACATGCATGTATAATAAAATATCTTAAGTTTTGTAATAAGCACATTTGTGACAGAAACCACTTCTTACTATTGCTGGAACAAACCTGATAAATCCCAAAAATTTTAAGGCAAGGATATGTAACATTGGCAATGATTAAATCTAAAATAAGTTAAGGTATACAAAATGATAAATTAATTTAATATGTAGTTAAATTATATTCTCAAGAGTGTCCAAAATTTACTATAGTGATTCGCTTTTTATAAACTTAAGAACAAAAGTTATTTTATTTTTGATAAAATTGTAAAAATTTATCTTAAAATCTACTTTAAATATCTCATATTGGAAGAACTTCTTGGAGCCGTATTCTGCAACTGTGGGGAAAGGAATGTGAGTACTCTCTCACGATTTAGCCTTACTGCGCATGTCACTCGACTAAAATAATTATAAGGAATCATGTCAACGGCGAGAGCATTTGTACGATATACTGTAAAAAGTAGAAGATTCCCAATTTTTTGGAATTTTAATTTTCCAACTTATGAGCTAGATTGAATTTCTGTTGCATACTCTATAAAATACGTATATTTTAAAATTATTTTTAATTATAGGGTGATTAACAAATGTACGACGGTAGTTTTTTGCAAAATCTCACTAATTCTAACATATTTTTAAAAAATACTACTCAATATGGTATTTTGTCAATCAAATATTGCACGATACACATTCTTATACAGAGCGTTTTATAGTGAGAACTACAAAATAAAATAATTTTTTTAAGAATTATTTCAAAATCCTGTATAAATTGGCTTATCTGGTCAAATGTAACCATTTTCTCGGTACATAATAATTTTAACTTCGATACTATGACCAGTTTTCAAGATAAAGGTCGTTAAAGTTGCTGATTTTAGTTTATTTTTTCTTCAAACTGAAAAGCTAGATGCTGAATATATAAGTTATAAGTTTGCTGAGATGTCCATTACAAGAGACAGAGCCCTGCACGGGCCGGCCCGTTTCAATAGGGCCGCGGCCCGGCCCGACAGCCGGGCCGGGCCGAACCGTTGCTTTTTAAAGCCGGGGCCGGGCCGGGCTAAGCCCCCTAGTCATGTACTCTCCATATATTAAATAACCGACACTGATAACATTTTAAGTGTAGTTAAATAAATGTATCTATTCGTTTTATAAAATTATTTTCTTAAAAATAAATTACGCACGCCCATGTTTCACAGAGAAAACGCTAACTGCGGCGGCGCGACGGCGATGCAGCTATACGGTAACCACTGACAAGTGGTGACTGTTCGAGATTTAGTTCTTAAGCTGTTCCAAGAAGTGTCGGTCATAATATACTTATGTATTATTTGTCAACAATTTTCATTTTACGTTACGCTGGTACGCGGTATAGTTGGTTTGTGGAATATTCCCATTTTGTTTAATAATTTGATACGATTGCGAATATTTCTCTGTTTTATGACTTTAAAATGACCGAGGAAAAAAAAAACTTATTTTAAAAAAAATTAAAAGTGGTGAACTGTTTTTAAAAAGGTTTGATGCAAAAGAAAAAAAAAAGTGAAATATGGAGTTGCTTCTGTTTGGTGGTGAATACAGATGGAAAGTCGCAGAATTTTGTTCAATGTGAGAAATGCAAATTATTATTTAAATATGAATCCAGTAAAACTGGTACATCCCATTTAAAACGACATAAATGTTATGATAAATTGGATGATTTACAAAGAAAAATTTCTGAGTTTGCACAAATTTAGCAACCAGTTGTTTCTTCTGCCAAAATAAAAGAACAACTAATAAAAGACAGCATTTTTTTTTTGTAGTAAAAACATAAGGCCATTTGAAATAATAAAAGGTTTAGGATTTAAAAAATTATGTCAATCATTAATACAGATTGGTGCACAATATGGAAATGTTAAAGTTGATGATATTTTACCGCATCCTACCACTATTTCCCGCCATTTAATTGAAACTGCCGAATGTATTCGCCAAAAAATATTACCGGAAATATCAGCAGTTATGGAACTAGGCATATGTGCAGCTACAACAGACATGTGGACAGACGATTACAAGAAAATTCCATATATAACAATGACTATTCAGTTTATAGACAATCGCTGGGTATTAAACACGAAAGTTTTATTCACTTGTAGTTTTCCTAATGAAGACCAGAAAACTGGAGATAACATACGAAGAGAACTAATGAAACGATTTTCAAATTTTGGGTTAGATATTAACTTATTTAAAAAATTAAATTTTGTGACCGATCAAGGGGCTAATATTGTGTCTGCTTTAAGTCGATACGAACGATTCAACTGTAGTGCACATTTGCTTAATATGGTCTTACGTAATACATTTGAAAATAATTTTTTGGCCCAAGAGGATCTTGAAATAATTAAAACTACGATGGATAATTGTAAAAGTTTAGTTATGTTTATGAAACAAAGTGGGTACATGAATTTGTTACCTAAATCAATTTATCAGGAAGTTGAGACCAGACAGTAGATGACCAGTTTGAACATATTACAGAAATATTGACGTCAAAAGAAGAAGACCACCGATTATCGGAAATAGATAGAAATCTGTTGTCTGGCCTAATAATTTTCCTGAAGCCGTTTAAAGAATGTAGTGACATGTTAGAAAGAGATAAGAAACCAACGTTTCATTTCGTCACTTTGTGTTACTTTAAGTTATTAAAAGATCTTAGAACTACAGATTATGAATTTGAATGCCTAAACAGACTAAAGCAAAGAGCAGAGGAGTTTTTAATTAAAAAGTTCGTTTTAATCGATGAACATAAATTTGCTACTTTTCTTTGTCCAAAATTCAGACAACTTAAAATGTTAACTGAATCAGAAAGGCTAGACGTAATTAAAAAGCTAAAAATTATGGTACAAGAAATACAAGAGTACCCTCAAAACAATGCAACACCTATACCCTTTGATGGCCAAGATCAACCAGAAAATTACATTCCACCAAGAAAAAAAAGTGCATTTTCGGAATGGGAGGATGATGACCCGTACCTGCCGACATCAAGCAAATCTCAAGAGGAAATTGAACTTTATATAAAGACAGAGACTTGCATTGATTTAAAAGAAGATATTCTTACCTGGTGGAAAAGTGATTCAGATAATTTTCCAGTTCTATCAAAATTGGCACAGAAATACTTAGGTAACGAGAGTAACAATATTTTTGTATACATTTATAATGCGATGATTCTACTTTCAATTGCAGGTATACCAGCAACAAGTGCATCCAGCGAAAGAAACTTTAGCACAGCAGGTCGGGTTCTTGAAGAACGCAGAACAAGTTTAAAGACTGAAAACGTTGATGCTCTGTTATTTTTAAATAGTAACATTTAAATTTTGTTTCGCCTATTTCATGTTTTATAAGTTAATAATAAATTTAAAAAAACACCCTGTACCTTTTCATTGCATTCATGTAAAACATCAAAAATCCCAAGGTGTCTTTTTTAACCATATAACGACTAATAGGCGTTATGTATTTGGCCGGCCTATCTAAAATCAGGATCGGGCCGAACAATGTATTGTTAATAGCGGACTCGGGCCGGGCCGTAGTTCTAACTTTTGGAAGCGGGCCGGACCGGGCCTAAAAAATTCGGCCCGTGCAGGGCTCTAACAAGAGACAGTTGTAAACAGTTGCGGCTCGTGACTAAAATATTAGGAATACACAAGAACAGAGAATATAGATTAAGGCGGGCCGAAAAATTTAAATATGGCATTTCAAAACGCAATACCCCCCAATGTATTACTTATGATATTCGCTCCGTGCGAAGTCATGGAAAGGGAAGCAAAAGCGTACTAGCGCTAGCTGCGGATAATTCGTGCATTTTAGGGCATATCAAATACACGTATACATTTTACTTTTTTTTTTCTTCAAAAAAGTAGGTAAAAACAATACAATAAGCAACCGGAGTTACTGTGTTGAAAATTGTACAAATACTAGCAAAAAAAAAACAGTGAAACTTATATAAAAAAATTTCAGTAGCAAAGTGGAAATTAAATGTATAGGTGTACAATAAGAAGAAAAATTACCTTTATTTGAAAGGTTTTAAATAACGCACTGGCTAGCCGACCGCCGGCGGTAGTTGAATTTAATAAAACGAAAACCGTCTTCCGGCGGCATGGTCTTATCACATATAAAAAAGCCGCCGAAAATCTAACCTGATTTGTTGATCAGGGCGGCCTGCTATCAGTGAATTGATAAATGCCGCCGGTCTACTGTATTTGAAACATTGAATGCCGTCGGAAAAATTGACATAACCTTATTTCTTCCATTTCTATGTGAATTTTCACTTGTTGAATATTAATATTGTTCCTGAGTGATAAATATGAAGTTAGGAGACGTATTTGAAACTTATAAAGACTTTTTGAACGACTTAGATAATTATTCCAAACGAGAATTTGTATCCTTTTGGAAGAGAGATGCCAAAACAATTTCAGCGGCCAAAAAAAAACAGATTGTTTTCTAGATCCAAAATTAAAATATTACCAATTGAAATATACATGCATTAATGGTGGGAGACCGTTTAACCCGACTGGAAAAGGAAAGAAAATGACAAGGTAATAATTTGATAGGAACTAAACATAACCAAACTATTAGCAAGTAGACTACGCTGTGCTTAATCAGAGCCCGTAAGTGATAATTATTTTCACTTCCTCATAATAATTTCTACTAACTGCTCATAAGAATTTAATTAGAACTATTGAATGAAAGACAACAATTTATCATTTTATACAAGTTTTCAAAGCTTGGATGATGTTATAATGTTTTTAAGGGGCTTTAACGAAACGTTTATTAACTTAAAGAAAAGCTATTCTATACCCACATCACATTTATTAATCTGATGTGGTACAAATGGTAGAATAGCTGGTATACACAGGTTAGTTGTCTATGCCGAGTAAGCAACATTTTTCAATACCGTTTCTGCCTTGTTTTTTCACTGATTCATAAGTTGTGGTAAAGTATAAAATAAAGGCGGTATTTTGTTTGGTATGAAGAAACACCGCCACGCCGGCTGTTTCATATTGTAAATTTAAATCGATGCCTCCGCGATTTTACAAGTGTTTTTTCTCACCACAATATTAATATTCAACAAGTGAAAATTCACATAGAAATGGAAGAAATAAGGTTGTCAATTTTTCCGACGGCAAATACAGTAGACCGTCGTCCGGCGGCATTTATCAATGCACTGAGAGCATGCCGCCCTGATCAACAAATCAGGTTAGATTTTCGGCGGTTTTTTTATATGTGATAAGACCATGCCGCCGGAAGACGGTTTTAGTTTTATTAGATTCAACTACCGCCGGCGGTCGGCTAGCCAGTACGTTTAAATAAACAATAAATTATCATTTTATGATGTTCTTTAACATCCCTTTATTCTTAAATGTTCATTCAGCAAGGACTAGATTTCAAGATTTCTGCCTTTGATTATTATTTGTGGCTGGAATGCAATTTTGTGACTTACTGATGGGAAACCAGTTTTAATCATTCATTGTTTTCTTTCGAACAAAAATGAAAATATAAATAACGATCCTTCTTTTGTACATTTTAACTTCACGCTATTATTTAATGGTATTTTTTTATTTTGACAGAATAAGCTAATTCTTCAATGACAACTTATTAGCTTTAGGCAACTTCTCATACATTTTCCAGTAAATACTGTTGCCTACCTATATTTTATTATTGATTTTTATTGATTATACATCATTTTCTTTAATTTAAGCGATAAAAATATATAACAGTAATAAATTAATGTTTCACTTATTTTACAAATCCATTTGAATCACTGATTACAGAAACACCCTAAGTCCACTTTCGGCCATATTTGAGTTAAATACGGTAAGTCGTTCAAAATATGTAGACCTATTAATTGAGCACATAAACAACCGAAGTCCAATACGTGAATAATATATTATACGTCCCGACAATATAGGCTGAGCGCAGAAACACCCTTAGTCCGTGACTTAAGTTGATTCTGCACTCATTCGCGCGCTCATCGTTTCTATTGGCAGATGGCTCTGCCTGACTAAAATCGTCTGTTCGATGCATTTTGTTGTAAACGGTGATTACGTGCAGTTGTATTTAAGTGACCAAGCAGTGTATAATAGTGTTTTGACTAAAAAGGTATGTAAAAAATAAGGTTTGAAATCGTTTTTTTATTAACGAATTTGTATCGTTTTAGCATCATGAGTGATACTGAATTAGAACAATCGACGACTATTAAAAAAAGGACAAGGAACGACGAATTGTACCAAATAAATAAAATCAAGAAAGCTCGGGTTAAAGGTGAATGTTATACTAGCTACGGAAATGTGATAGTTCCTGCTAGGCTACCAAGAGCTTGTGATTGTAAAAAAAGATGCACCGAAAAAATTATCGATGTGGAAAAAGAAGAAATATTTAAAAAGTTTTACGAGATATCCTCTAAGAACGAGTAAGATGTATTTCTACAAGGATTGATAATTTGTAAAGAAATTAAACGCAGGCGACCACGTAAAGAAGGTGCAAAGAATAGAGGTAGCTCTTTTTCTTATAACATATTAGTTGGCAACGCCAAAAGAGAGGTTTGCAAAGATGCATTTTGTGGTTTGTACGGTGTTTCAAACGAACGTGTAAAGAGAATTAGACGACTGCTACAAGTTGGATGTACCCCAATTGACAAGAGAGGAAAACAAAGGAGTGGTAACGCTAAGAAACCATCAGAAATTATTTTGGTTACTGAACATATTTCCATGTTCCCCGTCAAACAAACGCATTATGGTGCTCGCGAATTTAACTACCTTGATGCAGAGTTAAACGTGAAAATAATGTACTCTTTATTCCTGGAAAAGAATCCAACATCAAAAATCAAGTATGAGTACTATAATAAAATTTTCAGGGAAAATTTCAACTTATCATTCGGGAGACCACAGGTAGATGTGTGTAACGAGTGTGAGACGATCGCATTAAAGCTAAAAAACAAATCTCTTAACGACACGTCAAAAAGGGTTGCTGCAGCAGAACTCATGGTTCACAAACGACGATCTAAGAAATTCTATAATACTTTAAAGGCCTCCAAAGAGGCTTGTCGCAATCAAGATAACGTCCTTGCAATTTCGTTTGATTACATGCAAAATTTGCAGCTGCCTCGATGTCCTGCTCAAGACTTATTTTATTTAAGTCAACTCACTGTGAGTGTGTTTGGTGTGCACAATATGAAAACGGATGAAGCTGTTTTTTTCCTGTACCATGAAGGGCACGCAAGAAAGAGCCCAAATGAAGTTTGTTCGTTCCTGTTGCAGTATATTATCAGCTACGTTGGTGACCACATTACAGAGTTACATCTGTTTTGCGATAATTGCCCAGGGCAAAATAAAAATCATGTTTTTCTTCGATTTTGTTCAGCTCTTGCAAGCTCTGGTCGGTTTGCAAAGGTTGAAATTTTTTTTCCTATTCGTGGACATTCGTTTTTGCCGTCTGATAGGGATTTTGGTGTCATAAAACGAAAATTAAAAAAAAATAGACAGAGTCTACACTACAAAGGAATATGTTGAGATAATAGTCAGCTCCTCAGTTAAACATAATTTTACGGTTCATCATGTAAATTCCTCACAAATCAAAGACTTTCGCAACTGGTGGGGTAAATACTTTAAAAAGGATGTTATTTCAGTAGAAACCTCAGCCAGATCAGTACCCAGAAGTGCAAAAAATCGCTTCAATATTTCAAAATTTCATTACTTTCTATTTAAAGAAGAAAATGGCAAAGGTGTTATTGTTGCGAAGGATTATATTGGTGGATTTATAGAACATACCTTTCCATTACTACTGCCGGGTGATTTTCCAAAAGAATCTGCTATTCCCAACGGAAAAAATCCTATTTCTGACAAAAAAATGGAGCATATAAAGAAGGCTTACACGTTTGTTGGTCAAAATGAAGAAGTCCAGAGCTTTTGGAGGGAAATTTTGGAGTGGCCGACAGTTGCAAAGGATGTTTAATTATTGTTTTATATGTTTAAGTTACATACAGTTATAATTTTAGTTTATTTTTTAATAAATTTTTTGAAAAATATGTAGTAATTTTTATTTGATGCAGAAACCACCTAAGTCCATGTTATATTTGACCTTTTGACCTTTCCTAACATAATTGGCTTTTACATATTTTACGATTTTTTTGAAGGTACGATACTAATTTAACTTATGGGTTATTTTAAAGTTCATATAAAAATAATTAGGGAAATTAGATAGTTTTCGCTAATTATCTCTAAACACATCATTTGCGACTTAGGTTGTTTCTGAAATCAGTGATTCATTTACTTTTATTAAAACTAACATATATACTTTTTAATTACGAATTCCATTAAAAATTGTATTTGTCAGTATACGCAGAAATAGTCCATTAGTACCAAAACGAATTGTCGCGCACGGAGCGAATACCTTATCTCTGTTTAAAATTACGACCAGATTAAAGATCATCCTGCGCGATCTACATAACCTTCAAATTAAACAAAATCTCACATTTGTATTTTTTCTAAAATAATCATTTGCATATCAAATAGGTAATAACACATATTTTATATACTTAAGTATTAAATAAAGTATTTAACAAGTTACCTTATTTCATTTCCTTATAATTTAACGTCATCACAGTTAATCGGTTATTGCTGCATTGCATTATTTGAGTCAGTTGATAATAGGAAGCGACCGCATAAAGTTAATCGTGTTATTTGTTGTGAGCGTATTATTATTTGTTTTTGTGTATTTCTATATTTAAAATGTTTGAAAAGAAGGCGATAGTCACCAGAAAAACAGTAGTGTGCCCCATTTTGTCTCTACAATATATATACAATATATTAATAAGCGTTCTTGCAACCGGCTCTAAATGTTATTAAATTAATCTTAATTTTTTAACATAATTTAAGCATCTTCCAAAATGTTTTAGATATATAGAACTGTTTTGGTTTTTTTATAATATAAACTGATTTTACTTTAGTCCATTGACTTAGATACGTATTATACAATAAAAAAGAAATATATTTCATTTATAAGAAAAAGTGACCAGTTTAAAAATCACAGATAGTATTTTAAATGAATGATACCATTAGTACATTTTAAGTTGAACAAAGAGAATTTCTTTATGCGACATTCAGTATTAAACAAAAGCAGTACAAGTTAATTTTAGTTTTTCTTTTAAGTCTCAAATGTAAAAAATATTTCCATCACAAATTTCGTTCGCCTATTATTCTAAGGACATTTATTTACAGTGTAAATTAGTAACTAAACGAGGATCCACTATAAATATGATAAACAGTCATGTTACAGCACAGAGTGCGATAAACTTGGGTTGTTCAATTCATTATTTAAATATCATATACTCACTGGGATAAACAGTAGGGTAGGGCGGGGCAGATTTGTACATGGGACACATTTGGACAATGCAAATATCCCGCTCTACTGACATTGTAAAGTTAGTCACTTACATAAAGGTGTACATTGGTGTTCCTAATTATAGCGTCATTATAAACTTTTATAAAATTATAAGTTTTAAGTGATGAAAATAATCGTAAAACTTTTTTAAACACTAATGTAAGTATACTCACTGTTCATAAGGTTGTAACAATCGTTCTATTGTTAAATAACACAATATTCTTTCTTGTACTTAGAAATCATGCCTTGTTGCGTAACATAACCTAAAACAGCAAGCCTCTTGCTATTGAAAAAAAAAGTATCCAAATCTGCCCCATCCTCCCCTACTTTTGACTTTCTTTTTTTTTTAGTGAAAATATGTCTTTGAAAACAAACTTCTTAATTGTGCAAATATTTTGATAATTACTTATACACTATAAAGGTACAATTCACTTTGTTGGGTATTCATACACTGAGTGATTGTACCATAAGTGACTGAATATTTAAATTTTTTTCTTTCATTCGCATACTCCTTGATATTAATCTACAATTACATAATTATAAAACACCTTTAACAATATTTCAGTCATAACAATGATTTCCTCGTTTACTCACCAACTTTTTTTTTTATGATCAATTACAAACATTATATATCAACACTTATCCTAGCAATATAAATAAAGCTTTGGTTGACTATTCTACAAAATATCTTCACTCATTTACATGCACAAAACAACAAGTTAACACCAAATAATTTTGTTCGATGCACTTTTCAAGATACTTAATCCACGTTGTCTTGAAAGATGAGCCGGACATAGCCCGGAGAACCGAATAAAGGGCATGCGCAGAACGGACAGACTGCGTGGAATCCATTGGTACCGTGAGGGATCGCCACATTTGCCCAATATCTGTAACAAGATAGATTAAATAAATTCATATTGTAGCACCTTAATTTCAAAAACATTAATTGTCTCTCGGAAAACTAAGACAAAAATGAGATGAAAGCACAATATGGTTCATATTAAAGACAAATTTAATAGCGAAAGAAGGTTATTTATTAATTTATTACATCAACAAACAGTAATCACCATTTATTGGGTGGGAAAGATAATACATTAGCAATAATAATACAAATACAAAATTGATATAAATGTAAAACAATAAAGAAAAAGGCGAGTAATTATATAATACAATGTAAATGTATTGGAAAAGATAGAAAGTGGACTGTATATTTAGTGGTGAGGGATGTTAATTATTACTTCTTCGAAAAGTTCCCGCCCTAAGCAATACAAGAGACAATTAGCACATGTAGCATTAACAACTTTTACCAGAATAAAAGTTACACATTTTTTCCCGCCCTAACCAATAAAAGAGGGCAATTTGCATAATATGTAACATTCACGACTTTTACAAGAATAAAAGTCATATATTTATTAAATGATTTATTTTAAAAACAGAGAAGTCACAAGAACTTCTCACAATACAATTACAATGAAACTTCTATTAACGGGCACCTTTTCACAACGGAAATCTTTAGTGAACGGACATTTTTTAGTTCACCGAACATTTGGTATGTGGGTAAATGGGCTAAGACATCTCCGAACAACGGACCCTTTTCATAACGACTTGAAAGCATTCATGGTCAACAGACGAGACACCATCATAGGTCAGCCAACTGAAGAAGAATGCTAGGATGGACGAAGTCTCATTCAAAGAGGCCCCTTACCTCAGTGAAGGTTGCAGTTGTAATGTTATGTTAAACGTTCCTTTTTGGAACTATTTGATTCATACCTCAATGGTCGAACACAACAAACAAAAATCGGTAACAATGTAAGCTGTAAGAAAAAAGTAGAATTGGGTCTGCCTCAGGGCACGGTCCTTGCGCCTCTATTATTTTCAATTTACATTAACTACCTTACAAAGATATTGCCAGAAAAAAATGGCCTCATTATCTGTTATGCAGATGACTCAGTTATATTAATTAAAGCTAAAACATGGACAGATACATATCGACTAGCAGAAAAATATATAACATTAGTTAAATTCTGGATGGATCAAAACCTTCTAACCCTAAATAAAAGCAAAACATATTTTGTACCATTTTCAATAAGTAATAATAATATTGATATCCAACCTAATATTAAAATACATACATACCAATGCTTTAATAAAGATACAATATGCAACTGCACAAAAACTATAAACTCAGCATCAAATATAAAATATCTAGGTGTTTATATTGACCAAAATCTTAAATATGTTGAATACATAACTAAGAAAATTAGGAAAACAATATATAAGTTTTACCAATTAAGAGAATTTATGACAAAAAAACTGCTAAAAACTATATATCAAGCTTTAGTTGAATCTAGCATAAACTATGCTTTAAAAATTTGGGGAAGTACGTGTGGTAATATCTTACAGAATTTAACACTAACACAAAAATATATTCTCAAGATAATAAATAAAAAACCAAAAAGATATTCATTTGAAAGCTTATTCACTGAGAGTGGAGCTCTATCAATAAGAGAACTCTACGTAAAAAGCACCTTAAACTATATGAAATATAAAAATACTTATAAAAATTAAATTCAACATAATATTAACACTAGATCCATCACCCAAGATCATGTATATACAAACAGGGTTGAATTCCTTGCCTGCCAGAGGCATGTATCTTTTACTGGACCAAGACTCTTTAACATGTTACCGTCACATATCAAAAATATAAATATAATAAATAGAAAAATGTTTAATGTAAAAGCTTCTCACTGGATCAAAGAAAACAGTGAGACAATAATTACAAAGTTGCCTTTTAAGTAAATTATTTTAAAGTTATAAATTAAAAAAAAAAAAGAAAAGTAATATCTATATAAATTATCAGTTATCTGGATGGTTAGTATTTCGTCTTTGGTATCACTCAGCTGGCGGAGACTGACGCATCAGCCTATAATTGGGTTCTGACAAGATTATTTTTATTTATTCTATAATTATTAGAAAATTATTTTGTATTTTATATGTATTATTATGTTAAATTGATAGGTAAGTATCCCAATGACTGTGGATGTACTCTCGACAAGTCACTCGTGACTTAGAGAATCCATTCCAAACAATGTTCTGTTAATGTACTACTTAAATTATGTAAAATAAACGATTTTGAATTTGAATCATTCTCTCACTTCTCCTTTCGACACTCTCGACTCTACTAAGTAGCGCTCATCGGAGGATCCACAAAAAATGGATTGTCGAATACATCTGACACTGACGAAGAATATCGAAAGGTTGTATAAACATGGCAAGTCGCGCCAACAACGAGCTTATTTCGTTAGATTTATATGGACACGACACTGGCTGGTTTTTGGCGCGGTTCAGGCGCGACTCGTTTTATTTACACGCACCTCAATGTTGTATTCATCATTTTGTTTTAATGTTTTATATTCACAGAATAAAAATAATAAACAATTTATATTGAGTACTTTTTTCCTATTTCATAATATTTTAAAAGTCGGCAAAGCAGCTGACTAATTTAACAAAATTGTGTTAAAATAACAGTAGCAGGGTAGCCATAAATAGATTAAAATGCTTTTTTCTACGTTCATGCAAAAAAAAAACTTTATTGAACTATATTTAGTGAAAAAACTGGTTCTTTATTGCACTAGTGCAATAAAAATTTTATTGCACCATCTGTTATTTTACTGCAGCGTTTTATGATCATGACAAATGAGCCGTCTAAATGCAAAACCCGCCAAGTGTAAAAATAAAAAAAATGAGATAGCACTGCCATTTTATAAAGAATGGTAAATTTTAAACTGTGTTAAAATATTATTTTTCAAAACTCGCCATTTCAATTAATATTTACAATCTAAACATTAGTTTACTTTCAAAATATCGTCAACTGGAAACTTATTTATTTGCAAAAACCGCCAAGTATTAGTAACCAATAAAAAAGCCATTTTTTGTCGCGTGACCATCACGGCGAGCCCCTAAGACGCACAATGGCGCAAAGCGCCACCGTGCCTCCCAAATTACTTTACACCTTATGGGGTTGGAATGTCTAAGGTGAATTTTTTTTTTTAATATTCGTCTTGAAATTGCCTATCGACCCCTTATTTTAGATTTTCGTTTTATGTCTTCATATTTCCGGAATTCTGATCCAAAAATTGGTTTTTATGCAAAAATGTAGATTTTCCGCACGAAAGTGATCCTACGGTAAGCGAGATTGAAATTTTTGGATCAAAATGACCAAAAATAGAAAGATCAACATAGTGTCTAATAGTCTTCAAAACTCCAACCATCCATTAGATGCTAAAGACTTTTATTATCATCCATTTTTTCGAAAAGTTCCAGAAGAAATTAATCATGGTTTATTAATGATGACCTATTATATGCAAAATGGCAACTTTTATCAAGAAATTGAATTTCTCGAAAAGTGTTTAGAACCATTTATGGAACCCTCTGAGGCTTTTTAGAATTTCGGGAAAATCTGGAAAATGGTCGTATCTGGACATTTTGTGAAATGGCCAAGAAAGTGGCCAAAAATTCTGGTAAAATTCGTGCGCATTCCGCGAATGAATACAAACAATTTTTGTTCAATGAAATGTTTTCCAATACTATCCTAACATTAAGTAAAACGCGCTTCCTGTTATTTAAAAATTTTGGATGGTTATGACCATTTCAAGGGTAATGGAAATTTTTTTACCGTATTCCAAGTACAGGGTCTTTTAGGGTCTTTGAAGACGAACATTTTCCCATAAAAAAGTTTGGTAAAATTTCAATTTCGCGAACCTAAAAGCGATTGGAAAACAATATTATCCATTAGGCCAAAAGAGCTTGTATCTGGTCGTCCTGTTAATAAGGAAAAAACAAATTCATCGAAAATTTATTATCCAAGCATTTTGGAACTGATTGGAAATCTTTACAAAATTTAAAATTTTATAAGGATGTAATGGAGATTAATGTTGAAGATTTACCAAGCTCTTTCACAATTATGGATGAATTCATTTGCGATGAAAACCCCGAAGATAACACAAGATTTGTTTAAATAACATGTGTTGAGTTACTTTTGTTAGTTTTATTTGTATTTAAAAAAAAAAAGTTTTTTTAAAGAGGTATGTTTCAAACTTCTTAAAATTAAAATCTATTTATTAAGTTTTTAAAATACTTAAAATTTTTTGCAAAACCCGCCATTTTTCAAGTTAATTTTCAAAACCCGCCAACTGCATTTTATTTTTCTAATTTACGGTGGTATGCGACCTCTTTGATTTATAGGATGAATGATAATTATTAAGAAAGAGTATTCTACATTAACAAAAATAATAAAGTACATTACTTGATCGATAGTTTTAAGCAAAACAGTTTTTTCGTGTTTCCTCGAAACTACTTCGTTTGCACTTGGCGGGTTTTGCATTTAGACGGCTCAAATATAAATATTCAAATCGACGCCAAATATTTAGTCCATTTTCATTTTCTGTGAAATTGTATTACGTTTTAAAAACAATTGCATATTTTATATTATTTTCAATCATTTAATAAATAAATTAATACAAAATGTATTTTTCTTAACATAGTTATAGTACTTTTTCAATGTTAATCGATGCTAATTATTAGTTATTAAACATTTTGCTATTAAATTACGCTTTTTATTCTTCTGCACTTAGTGTCGCCCAAATAAAACATTTTTGGTTTTTGCATGAACGTAGAAAAAATAACAAGTGCAAAAAGTGTTTATTGCATGTCGCGTGCAATAAACACTTACTTTTTGCACTTGTTGCATAAATAACTATTAAAGTAAGTGAAAATGAAGAATGCCGTGTAATATATCTCTAGGATAAACATGGGTTTAATAGAAATAAATCAATGTAATTAAACAACAACAAAAAATGCAAAAACGAAAGTTGTAATATGTGAGTATTTAAAAGTATTACTTACTTGACAGTTTTTTCGGTAGCCATGTGTCCACAAGGATTGAAAGCAAATGTTGGTGGTCCAGAATCCACATAAAATGCTGGTTCTAATCCCATGAATACCTTTACGACAGGACCCAACTAATGAAAAAAAAAAAAAAAATAAATAAATAATATGATTAATTTTCCAATATTGGACAATTGATGGATGTTTCTTATGATTCATATTTACATCTCAAGAGAAGTATCACTTTTTGATCATCAACATAAATCATAATCTAGATAAAGAAATTTCGGGTGAGAAGACATTATAATCCTAGGACCTGCAATTGGGAAGCATTCCAGAAGGAACTCAAGGCCGCCACTCCATTGTTTTTCGACATTGAAGAATTCAGGGCAAATTTTTGTTTTCGCCCTTTCAGGTATCCTTCTGCTCTCCTCTGAGGGATTCCAGCAAACAAATATGAATTTTTCAAATCAATATAACGATGGCTTATAACCCACAAAGAGTAAATTTTATAGTAGAGACAAAAAACTCTGTCCTGGTACATGTATCGAACGGGTAAGGACTAGTTAGAAATAGCGGGAATCGACTAGAAATAATTTTATTTGGGGCAAGAGGTTTTAGTGACCGATATTGTCCATCTTTTTCTACTGATTCTGATTTAAAAAAATTAAATGTAGAGTTTTGCGTATCATCAAAATCACCTTTGTAAATGTAAAAAAAAAAAAAAATGTTAAAAATAATTCACCTCTAAGCAAATTGGGCACTTCCTAGTCCCGGTGTCCTTATCTTCGCCCCAATCATGTAATCCTTGAACATGTCCGCAATTTAAGTAAACATAGGGCTGTTGTAGATTTTCGTTTGGTGAGACTCGTCTTGGAATCACCAGTGTGTTTAAGCCAACAGGGCATTGTGGACGCCCAGCATTTATTTCATCAATTTCTCGTTCTAAATCTCGTTTGCTCTACAAATAAAGAAGAATAAACTCTATCATGATTGAAAAAAAAATAAATAATAATAAAATGCTTAAAAAAATATACAGTGTTTTACGTAAACAGATTTACTGGCGTGAATTTAGTAAAGCAAAGTTGGCAGCCAAAATGCCAAAAGTAACCGAATGAACTGCAGGGTCGGTCTCATTAAATTTATTAATTAAGAAGAAAGAAAATTTTAAACAAATATAAACTATATAATAAAGGCTGTCCCAATAAGAACTTGAATTTTGAATCGCGTGTAATAATTTGGCAATTATTTGAATTAATCTAAAGATTTTACATAAAAATCTCATATAAATTTTCAAGTACCTTAGAAATAGTAAACAGTTACTATAATATCAAAGTAAATTCATATAAATTTTCACGTACTTTCCTTCATTTGACCTTAGAAATATAAACAGTTATTATAATATCAAGGTAAATTAAATATATGAGTTGACCAAAAATTTCAAAGAAAGCACGTCTCAACCAATATTTAAATGATTTGGAAACTAGGGAAAGGGACAGTTACTGAGTGGGCCGGGCGTTACGCTGTCCGACTACCCACCGACGCCGATAAATCGTATATCGGGAATTATAATAGTACATTATATACCTAGGGTGAGAAGTGAGCTATTATTTACCGAGCACTTTTATATGGATATAATGTGCGAGGTAAATAATAGCTTTCTCAGCCGAGGTATATATAGAATTTGTTTTACTACTAACATTAATATATTAGCAATTTTAATTTTGACATAAGTAATTTCCTAACAATTTATTAAATATTTCGAAATATCAAGCAGACTGGAGCGTGTTTCTAATCAGACTGGCTTTATTTATGTAAAAATTTGGCATGTGTCAAATTTTGATATCGATTCTAGGAAATATCCCATTGCATTTTTGATATTTTAATGACATGGATTTATTGGTATTTATTAATAATTTTTGAAACCGGTGTTGAATTTCCTAGTTAATATATATTTCTACTGTTTACACTGATATATATTATCATATTTGTAGGGAAAATTATTCATATTATACATATTTAATTTAAGTTGTCTTACTATTTTTTTTTTAACATTATTTTTATTCTTTAAAAAAACGAGATCGATACGCCGCTGGTGTCAATAGTTTCTAGAAATTGTAATCGATTCCAGAATGATCGAGATCGCGAGTTCGAATAGATCCCGCTAGGGGAGGAGAGCACCGAGAACCGTAAGTAGGTCAGTAGGCAAGTAGGTTACGTAGGGTAAAGGTGTAAAAGACGATAATACGACGAAATTGTAAAAAGCCGAAAAAGACGAAGGACGTGAAGTATTGTATAAACGACGATTATATACCTACCCAACGTACAAAAACCTTTTTTCTATTCTTATAAAGATCAACGTATGTACAGTAAGTGCCATATCTGAGGAACCAGCGCAAAATGTTCAAATTCGTTTACTTAATAATCGCCACGCCCATTCACAATTTGAACCTTGTCCTTGCGTACGGTCAGTAGCATAGAAAAATAAAAAGAGAAGGTTTGAATAAATGGCGGGACTTGTTTCCTTGTTGGTAGTTGAACCGTAAGCGCTTAGCGCGCTGCTATCACTAAATTCAAACCCGTTTTACACCCATAAAAAAATATGTTTTCAAAAATAATGAAAAAGAAATCAATAATTTTACTGATTTACCCCTTTAAATTTCACTTTAAGATAATGTGTGATCAAATAGAGGGATAATCGTTAACAAATTTAAAGTTAAAGCTAAATTTAAATATTATTAGATGGTGTAAATCTGGCTTTGAAAATAAATTAGGATATGTTGCTATAAATATGTCAGCCTGATATTATTTTCATTTTCAAATGCAGGTGATATTTTTTTCAAATGTAGGTGAGTAAATTGTATTAAATAAGTGTAAGTTAGATTTAACTAATTTAACTATTAGGAGGTTCTTAAGAAAATCATTAACAATTCATTTAAATTTTAATTGCAGAAGTAAGTATTTTTCTCACAAAACTAACAAGAAATTTTATGTTTTTCCTGCTATTAGAGATAAATGGATCCACATTTTAAACATTTGTGGTCAAAAAAATGAAAGGAGTTTTGAGCGAACTGTGTGAAGCCAATTTACAAACAAATATTATAGAACCTCATCCTAGTTTTACTCATAAAGACTAAGATTAAGAAAAGGCCAATGATTTATGCTCAAAAAGTTATTGTCCAATTTTTGGGTGATATTCATTATTATATTTATCAAATAATACCCAAATATGTTCAAAACCTAATATGATATATTTTTAGGTCAACATACTAATTTTTACATAATTCACCTATAAAGATCATAAATCAGATGTTTTCTATTTTTATTGAAATTTTTATACCTTTTATTGCAAGAAAAATGTAAAAATTTAAAAAAGTTATGACTCTTGTTAATTTTTAATTTTAAGATACACACTGCACCTTTATTTTTGTTTTGTTTTAGATATTCCTCGGTATGGAGATTTTTGGAATGTAGGTACATAAATGTGTTTCTTAATTAGGGTGAGTTTCAAAGTCCACCTGTATGAAGCTGGAGGCTTATTGTACCCGAAATAGGCATTACAACTATTCTAGATTGAAATAGATGCGGAAAGGCCTTAAAGGGACAATAAGTATAAGAATATTAGAATTAGAATGATTTGTCCTTGGATTAATAAGGGATATTTAAAACATTAAAACAATTGTGTTTATAAATGAACTACTTTGACTTTTTATAAAAACTATATCCGGTTTTTTTAATAACAAAAACATTGTCATGTGCTATGCTGGTTATCATATTATATTTTTATTTTTCAGTAATTTAGTGTGTGATATAGTGCTTGTTATGTTCAAAATGAAACACATGTAATTACATGGTAATTCTAAATAAATTAAACTTGTTAAAAATGTGTTTTATTTTTCAACTAATTTTATTTTTCAGTTAAAACAAGTGACATTTTCCATTTTTCAACATTTACCTACCACAAAAATTCACTAAACTTATTGTTTGTTTAGTAGTTGTAAGTAAAAGTTGTCAAATAGGAAAATGTTACTTCAAAGTGCTTCAAATTCTAAATTATTAAGCCCGCCAATTTTTAAATCGCTCTAATTAGTAGTGTTCTACTTTATCGGCTGAAACTGACAGGTGTAGTTCAACCGTAAGCGCTTAGCGCGCTACTATCGAGGTCAAGCACACTTGTTACCAACTATTTACATGGAATCCAACCCCCGTGGTCAGTAGCGTAACGACTAGATCATTGTTTGTTTCTTGTTTCTGTGTTTTGGTTAAAGTGACTGGTTTTATTTTTGATGTCTTCTATTGTGGGTGAAAAAAAGCGCAGATCTGTTATTAACGGACAAAGTCGTGAAATAATATACAATGTTTTTAAATATTTTGACGCAACAAAAAAGGAAGGAGTTACTTTAGATGATATCAAACTTCAAACTGCACAAGCAACAGGTAAACATACTCTGTGGTTTATTTGCAATTAAACTTGCGTAGTTTTCCATATTTTTTTGTATTTTACATACATTTCTATGCATTTTATTTTTGATTAATATTTTATATTTAAATTTTTAAAATTTATCTTCTGTTTCTAAAAATTTTTGTTTCCTATTAAATGAAAAAATACTAAATTTACCATTAATATAATATTACGTTTTTACAGGTGTTTCTTATACTACCGTTAAAAGAAATTTGAAGGAAGGTGAACAGTCAATGGAAACAACTGGAAAAATTACATTTTCCACACCTAGGAAAAACTTTGTCAAAAAATCAACCGCTGCGAATCTCCCTGAATATCAATTGAGGGACCACAATAATTTACGATTTTCATATAACAGAAAAGTATCTTGTTACTGTTAAAAGGTTAAATAATAAAATTAAGGAAGATTTAGATATCCACATATCAGAAACTTCATTAAGAAGAGTCCTTAAAAAATTACAATTTAAATGGAGAAAAACACAAAATAATCGTAAAGTTTTGGTGGAAAAAATGAAAAATAGAACTTTAAGAGTAAAATATTTGAGACAGATAAAATATTTTAGAAGTTAAAATAGACCAATCGTTTATTTAGATGAAACATATATACACAGCGGACATACTTCTTCCAAGAATTGGACAGACGATTCAACAAAAGGTTTGTTTTCTGTTATTTCAAAAGGCCAAAGGCTTATTATAGTTCACGGTGGGGGAGAAATGGGTTTTATCAAAAATAGTTTGTTGATATTTAAATCAGGGACCAAGTCTGGAGATTATCATTCCGAAATGAATTCGGAAAATTACGGCAAATAGTTAAGAGAGAAGTTAATACCTAATCTTCCATCTAATTCAGTAATTGTTTGTGATAATGCTAGTTATCACAATGTACAGACAAATCGAGCACCTAATTCCAATTCTTTGAAGAATGATATGATCGAATGGTTGACAAAATACAACATACCTTTTAATCCAACAAGTTTGAAACCAGAGTTATATGAAGTGATTAAATCTCATAAGGACCGACATGTAACATATGCATTTGATGAGTTGTGTCGAGAATATGGCCACACCGCTTTACGGTTACCCCCATATCATCCCGACTTGAACCCTATCGAATTGGTTTGGGCAACTGTTAAGAATAATTGACAAGGGGGGTAGCCATGTGTGAGTTGAAGTAATTTTAAGGTGAAGGGGGGAGAAAAAGTCCTTTATATCTAAGAATAATGTCAGTCAAAGAAATGTTACCTTTAAATTAGAAGACATAAAACAATTAGCAGAAGAAGAATTTAACAAAATCGGTAAGGAGGAATGGAAAAAGAGATGCGATTATGTTATAAAGGTAGAAGATAAATATTTTGAAAGAGAAATACAAACTGATTTATGTTCGGAAATTAATCCTATCGTCATTAATCCTAATGAGGATTCCAGTGACGACAGTGACGAGTCTTCTTCCAACGAAGAATCTGACGAAGACATATGAACATTATTTATTTGTGATTTAC